TTCAAACCCTACTAGGCATTAACTTGCTCGCGAGCGCCGACTCGCTCCGGAGCGCGCATCCGCGACCGCCGCGCGCACAGCCGCACCGCCCCCCCATCATCCGCGCTTGTCGCCGCGTCCGCCGCCGCCGGTGCACGACCTACGCCACAAAAAAACCGCGCGAAAACCGGCCCCGCCACCAAAAAAAAACATGACGACCTTCCTGGACAACCGCTTCGCCTTCTTCTTCATGCGCCGCGACCGGAGCGAGGGCGGCAAGGACTCGCAGGGCTACGCGAGCAGCATCAACAAGATCGGCGCCTTCGACTCCGTCCAGGGCTTCTTCGGCATCTACGACCACCTCGTCAAGCCGGCGGACCTGGGCAACGACTCGCACGTGACGGACTACCACCTCTTCCGCGAGGGCATCACGCCGACCTGGGAGGACCCGCACAACAAGCGCGGCGGCAAGTGGATCATCCGCCTCCGCAAGGTCGAGAACCTCGCGAGCCTCTACTTCGAGGAGCTTCTCCTCGCTCTAATCGGCGAGCAGTTCGGCGACGTCGGCGTCCACGTCTGCGGCGTCGTCGTGTCCGTGCGCCAGCACGAGGACATCATCGCCGTCTGGAACTCGGACGCCGAGGACAAGGACGCGACGAACAAGATCCGCGACGTCATCAAATCCGCGCTCGATTTGCCCAACTTCATCACCCTGGAGTACAAGCGGCACCAGTTCCACCGCCAGGGCGGCGGCGGCGGCTGGAACCGCCAGGGCGACGCGCGCGGCGACCGCGACAAGGGCAACCGCGGGCCGCCCCGCGGGCCCCCGCGCGAGCGCGTCCACGCGGCCGCGCCCGAGCCCCGCAGCGACCGCGACTGGTCCACGCTCCGCGCGCGCAAGTGAGCGCGCGGGCGGGGCCGGCCCGCGCGCGCTCTGGTGGGGGTCGTGTGCCGTAACGACCTCGGAGACCACGAGTAGCGAGCGGCGCGGCATGGCCGGCCCGCGCGCCCTGGGGGATCGCGCGCCGTAGCGACCTCGGAGCTTACCACCGGCTCCACGGCTTCCCCGTCGCGTCGACCGCGCGCGCGTCCGCCGCGTCGACGTCCCAGGACGGCGGCGCGCGCACCGCGGACGCCTCGAGGATCCAGTCCATGGCCTCGAGCGGCGACTCCCAGGCCGCGCCGTCGGCCCCGCCGGGCGCGACGTAGACGTGCTCGTCCGCCGGGAGCGCGAGCGCGCCCGCGCAGAGCGCGGCCGCGGCGTCCTCGACGCGCGGCCGTCGGCCGTCGAGGGGCCCGCAGC